TTCGTTTTGCAGCTAATGATGTATTCGGTAGCGCGTTTCTAACGGAGATCCACTCTGCCGCTTACTAATTGGCCGGCCAAGCTCTCCCATAGATTCTCAATAACGGTCACGATGGAAAGATAATACCGAGGCGTGGTTAACGTCATCTTAGCGTCGCGATATGTGCGCATCGGGTGTATACGGGCGAGCGCACGACGCGAGGGTCGGGTCAAGGATCGAAATGTATCTATGTATTCCCGCACTCGGTTAGAACACCTGGAGCATGTACCGTATATGATCGACGACCGGTTTGCAGAAGTCGATGGTCCGTCGAAAGGTGAAAAATATAAGGTTAATATAGAGGTGAGATTTTTTTCCCATATTACCACATGGACACATTTGTAGATGTGTTTCATTGGTTCTAGTGCCTTACATGGATTTTTGGAGTTCTAAACGCGATTTGGATACTTTGTACAATAATATTTACGTAATATTGAATAAAGTTTTGATTTACTATGAGATGAAATTTAAATTTCTTTCTAAGAATGAAAATGAAAGGAGAAATTTTATGTCAAATTCAATCATATATAATAAAATTATTTTACAAAATCACATCTTTGAAAAATGTGCTGTAAAATTTCACAAAAATATTAATGGGAAATGGGAATATTTTGAAATATATTAACTTTTTGAAAAATTTAAATATACAATTATGAAGTACATAAAAGTCATAAAAGTTTTGTTTAAAACATTTTTTTTATATATTTCATTGATAATTGGTTGAGATCAAATATATGTATTAACTTTGAGGGGTTGTTTTCCCTCAAAGTTCAAATTGATATAAAAAAATAAGTTTCTTTTAGATTTTTGTGTTTAGCAACATACTTCAAAGGAAATCAAATTGGTTCCAAGTCCCTTGTTAGTACAGACATCTTTCTCATTTGTGTGACGTCTCAATTTTTTACCTATTTGATTTGCAGATATTTATTTTAATATAAATTGGAATTTTCACTTTACGTTTTTAATCTTTGTTCTTTTAAATATTCACATCTCGAAACGAATCTTTTCTTAAAGTAATTCCTCGATCTTTACAGTTTCACTAAAAACCAATATATGTAAATTGACCAATATATGCAAAGTCAATAATTTGATAAATTAGTGGACAATCTTGCTGGCGAAAGTGAGATTATCCATGAATATTTGTCGCGCCAGTAACTATATGATCTGACGTTGCACATTCGAAGTCGAAAGAACGTTTAGCCGAGCCATTAATTTGTCGTGGCAAAGTTACGATCGCGGAACTTCCTCGTCGGGCTTACATTGAGAAACTTACGGTGCTACTTGCCGCAGTGAATGTATAATCGCCGATTACCCTAACAAATACGTGGTGGTGCACGAGGCGACTAATTAAGCGATTATAGCATCCTAGGCGAGCTAACGAGTGTTAATCCATAGGCGAGTCGTGTCTGTCGGAGTTCAGGAGGTCAATTTGCCGCACGCCTAGCCGAGCACGACAAGTTTTCTTATCAGTATGCTAGAAAATATCATATTGCGGTTGAAGATGCTACATTTCTCCCGTTCGATCGTGTAATCTCGTACACTTCACGATTTCGCTCTCTTCTTGTTTCTGAGAAACATTATTTCACGTAGCGTGGCTTTTACGAGATGATATAACTAACGA